TTTTGCTAAACTAGTCAATTATCTTTTTTTTTTTTTTGGTACTGGGGGTTGAACTCACTGAGCCACATCCTTAACCCTATTTTGTATTTTATTTAGAGACAGGGTCTCACTAATTGCTTAGTGACTTGCTTTTGTTGAGGCTGGCTTTGAACTTGCAATCCTCAGGCCTCAGCCTCCAGAGCCATTGGACTTACAGGCGTGTGAAACTGCACCCAGCTAAGAAATTCTGATTCAGTGGAAGAGATGCAGAATGATTCAAGATTAATATCCATTATTAACATGTAAAACTGAGGGAAAGATCAGTGAATTGTGCTTGTAGAATTCTGACCCCATGGGAGATGGAAGGGTCAAGTCCAAAGTCGCTAATGGGAGAGATGAAGAAATACTGACTCTGAGAGCGTGAGTTTCTGGCTAGAATGTATTCCTTGCTCACTGTGTCTTCTTTTCCCTCTCTCAGCCCCCTTAGGCTGATTCTCTAGGTTAATGTGGTGGAGATCATGTTTGTTATAATAGGGAAAGGAAGTGTCAGGCTGAACCCAGTGCTGAAAAGCTTCCTGGATCACACTTGGCTCAGGCTTCTCCAGGGAAGATGGACAGAGGGAAGAGAGGTGCTGGCACCAAGTAGGGGCTTGGCACAGGGCTCTGGAAAGTTCAGAGGAGCTGGAGGCCCAGGTGGCAGGACATGCCTGGGTAGCAGCGAGCTCCTATGGCCACAAGAGTCTGCACTGCCCATACAAGGGACAGCAGCCCAAACCCTATCATGCATGAGCAGATGGAGCCATATGGGGGATGACAAAGACTTGCCCTAACCTGTCTCCCATGTGGGACTGACCCAGCCCTATTAAGCCCATGGCAGGCAGCCTGGGAGAATGGGGGTCAGGGGAGCCCAGTGTTGGACAGCATACCATGGTAGACAGACCCCATCTGGTTTTTGATTCATCTCCATTCATTCAGCTGTGAGCTTTTGTATATGCACACAGCTGAATGAAGTTCTGCTGACTGAGAACTTTGGAAAGATCCCTCTGGCGAGACAGGGCAGGGGTGGCAGGGTGGGGGTGGGACTGCCTTGAGAAAGCAGCTGAGGAATGGATGGATTGGGATTTCCAGAGCCTTCAAAGATGATGCCTAGTCTGATAGGAACCGTGATTCAATGCTCTGATTTGGGATTAATTTGTCGAATGAGGTCGTTCCATCCTGACCTCTGTAGGCAGGGTTAGTCTGGGAAGACAGGCCTTCCCAAGACCCACAGGGATGGAAAGTGGCCAAGAAAAGCTAGATTTGGGCTTCCAGAATGCAAGGAGAAAAATAGAGAGAGAGGGCTGTAAAGGTTACTAGGTGCAGGCTGAGCTGATGACACCTTCTATTCATGATTCTGATCCTGATATTGGCTTTGAGGCAGAGATGGCCCTTTCCTGATCTTTCAAAGCCCCACAGATAAGGGGACCAGCTGGAGGATGGACCTTGGGCATCCAGAGGCACAAGTGTGACGGCCACCCCTATGGAACTCAGCAGGGACCACAAAGTTCCAGCCTCAGTTTGTTTTCAGAGCAACAAGCATGGCTTGGGGTTTGGGGGGGCTTCAGTCTTGGACAAGGGCAGGGTTGCAGGTCTGTTTTCTTGGCCTGGGAACATTTGGGATCCCCTTCTGGAATCATTAGTTCTTTCCTCTCTCCCCAGTGAACAGGAGAATGGGTGGGAGGGCAACTTCACCCAGCAGGAGCCACTACCTCCTCTCTGTGGGACCCCCAACCCGTCTCCTGGGCAGGACCCCTGGGGCCGCACAGGTGTGTTTAGATCTCCATGTCTGCAGGGTGAATGTTCCCTATTTTGTGCTCTCTGACCCACAGCTCTCTGTCTTTGGCCAGGTCTACTTTTTGAAGCAGTTGGTCCACATGCTCAACTGTGCTTTGGTTGAACATGTCCGTCTCATGCTGCAGCTGTGTGTATTGGCACAGATGTTGCCAGATCATCTCCACCCTCTCCACCTCCAGCTGCTCCAGCTTCAAAGTGGTGGTCACCATCTCTTCAAACCACTTGGACTGGGCCTGGCATGAGGTCAACGCCAGCCTGTGTGGACTTCTCCGTGTCTTCTTGAAGTCCTCCTCTGTCTTGTTGCTCAGCTTGATCTCCAGCTGCTGAGCCTTCATCTCCAGGTCTCTCTGCCACTCTGTGAGGGCGTTCTGGGCCTTCTGACGCATAGCGACAGGCGAGTTGCTTGTGGGGGTCAGCAATATGGTGGTCATACTTTTTCATGTCTTTCTCGAAGTTCTCATGAAAGTTCATTAGGGGCTTCTCCATTTCACTGTGAAGCTTGGCAGAGAACTTGAGATAAACTTCGGCTTTACCTGCCAGGCTCTGCTTCACCTGGGCCCATACTTCTCCCAGGGAGCCTTCCTCCTATGCAGCCAAGGAATTCTGAGAGAGCTTAGCCAAGTTCTTTGCATGTTCTTCTTCAAACTTTGTCCTCTCTTGGACAAATTCAGACATTTTTTTCTGCATTTGTTCGCCTTTCATTTGCTTTTGGAGTACCAGTTGGAACCCAGCCACAGTGCCGTCGCTTTGGTGGTCCTTCTTATCAGCCCAGAAGTAGTCACGGTAGCTCCACTCTGTTGGCTTTAGCAGTTGCTGTTCAGGCATGGTGTCTGGGTGAGGGAATGGCACACAATTTATCATCTCTGTGTGGTCAACTTTATTTTCAAGATTATATATTTTTGTCTTCATTGCCTGAGGTTCTGTCTTCCAAGTGGCCGCATCTGTTGGTGATACTTTCCATTGAATTTTTTATTTGGTTTTTTGAGTCCTTCATTTCAAGGATTTCTTCTTGATTTCTTTTCAGGATCTCTATCTCTTTATTGAAGTGATCTTTCACTTCCTAAAACATATCTCTGATTTCACTCCTTATATACTCATTCAATAAGTTAAGGAGCAGTTTTACTAAGTAGATTCTGAACTCCTTCTCTGATATTTCTTCTACTGTTTTTTCAACAGATTCTATGATTGGAGCATTTTGGTTTATTTGGAGCACTTTATTCCCTTGTTTTTTCACGTTGTTTGTGGTCTTCCCATCTAGCCATGGATCTGAGGCAGAGCAGTTTCTACTCTGTAGACTTTAGTGCCCCTAAAGGTTTCCAGTACCTTGCCAATCCAGGTTTCAGTTTCTGTAGGCTCTGCCATGCTGTAGTCCCAAGATGGCTCCTGGATCATGGACGATGGTTAAAGTCTGGTAGACAGTGAAGGATAGGGACAATAGGCCCCAGGGAGGGAACTTCCCTTCCTCTCTTTCATGTCTTTAACTTTTAAAAACATATGCAATAGGGGGCTGGGGATATGGGTCAAGTAGTAGCGTGCTCGATTGACATGCGTGAGGCACTGGGTTCGATTCTCAGCACCACATAAAAATAAAACAAAGATATTGTGTCCACCTAAAGCTAAAAAATAAATATTTAAAAAAAACATATGCAATATAGTTATGGTATTATTTATGTATTTATTTGGTACTGTGGATTAAACCCAGGGCTGCTTAACCACTGAGCGACATCCCTAGCCCTTTATATTTTTGAGATAGGTCTTGCTAAGCTACTCATGGCCTCACTAAATTGCTGAGGCTGGCCTTGAACTTGTGATCCTCCTGCCCTAGCCTCCGGAGTTGCTGGGATTACAGGCATACGTCACCACATCTGGAAGGATAACTTTTTAAATGCCCTCATCTGCTAATTCTAATATCTGCTTAAATATGGATAAGGTTCAATTGATTGATTTATCTACTTATTATGAGTTACATTTTTTTACTTCTTTGCTCTGAGGCAAAGAAATTGGATTCCAAGCCTGGTGAAATTTTGCCTTATTGGTTGCTAGATAGAAAACAATTTCTACAAAGATTCTTGAGCTCTGTTCTGCGAGCAGCAAAGCCTCTCTTGATCCTTTTGCATTTTGCTTTTAAGATCTGTTAGGTAGGCCTGGGAGTTGTGTTCAGTCCAGGGCTGATTATTCCCCATGAATGAGGAAATGGTCTTCTGCATACTCTATTAATACCAGGTGATTCTTGAGATTATTCAGCATGGCTGGGGAGAAGAGGCACCGTATGAGCACCATTACTTTCACTTTTTTTTTTTTTTTTTGTAACGAGGATTGAACCCAGGGACACTTAACCACCGAGGCACATCCCCAGCCCTTTTTTTGTATTTTATTTAGAGACAGGATCCTCACTGAGTTTCTTAGGTCCTCACTACCTTGCTGAAGCTGGCTTTGAGCTCATGGTCCTCCTATCTCAGCCTTCTGAACCACTGGGATTACAGACGTGCGCCACTGCTCCTGGCCCAGCACTTCTAATCTTTTTGATAATTCTTTCCCTTGTCTCAGTTAGTGTCTTCACACATATGTTCTCACCAGGACTGAGTTAAGGGATTGAGGGAACCCTATGAAGATATTAGGGTTCCCTTCTCTGTGCAATTCTCCCTTCTCGATACTCTTTCCTTTGAAGTTCCCTGTTCATTTTGGTAGTAAAGTCCATGGTAAGGAAAAAAAAATACCAGCATTTTTGACATTCATAGTTGGTCTTAGTTAATGGTAATGGAAACAGAAGTAGAAAGATTACTAAAGGGAAATCTGAATTCAGCCTGCTTAAAGTCCCTACCTGACATTAAGAGTCATATTTTTTTTTGAAAAGAATAATAGACTGTGAGCTGTGCTAATGTTCCTGGATATTTATTATTCAATGAACTCCTTGCTGTTGTCACAACTTATGTTAGGGAGCGATTGGTGTTCGGTAGAGTACAGGTATAGATTGAAACCTCACAATGAAAAGGCCTGGGACACTGTAGATCCTAGGTAACTTGTTCATTCTTGATTCCTGTTGTGTCTGCAGACATGGAGGCAGACGTCTCTCCTGCAGTGTGCATGCTCCTAACCCCCAGGATTCTGACTGGCAGTGTGGGCTGGTAGCGGGAGGACACAAATGTGACTCATGGAGAGGATATTGACAGCCTGTTTTCTACCCACAGGTGCTTTCTTTATCCCTTACCTCATTTTCCTCTTTACCTGTGGCATTCCTGTCTTCCTCTTGGAGACAGCGCTGGGTCAGTACACAAGCCAGGGAGGTATCACAGCCTGGAGGAAGATCTGCCCCATCTTCGAGGGTGAGTAACTCTGTGCCTGATTCCCAGGTGTCTGCTCTAGTTGGTTATAGACCATACGTGGGATGACTGAGTAAAGAGCAGCAGGTCTGAGATTAAGATAAGACTTTAAGTCTACATGTTAAACCTTTGGTTTGTGGACTGAATACTGAGCTGGTCACCTGGTTCATTAGAGGATGGGACAAAGGTTTTAGGTTAAATGAGTGCAAAGTTATTTTAGTTATGTATATTTTACATATGTGACAATAATTATTTTTTAAATATATAGCCATAATTTTGTATTTTAGAAGACATTTAATTAATTAAAGCATTTTAAAAACATTTAAAAATGAGAAAAGTTCTTTCAGTAATAGTTCTATCATCTTGACATAATAAGTTTAAAACTTAGGATGTTTTGTGTTGGCTGTGGTGGTGCACACCTATAATTCCAGCTGCTCGGAAGGCTGAGGCAGGAGATTGCAAGTTTGAGGCTAGCCTTAGTAAATTAGTGAGGCACTAAGCAACTTAGTGAGATCTTGCTTCAAAATAAAAAATAAAAAGGGCTGGGGATGTAACTCATTGGTAAAGAACCCCTAGGTTCAATCCCTGATATCCAAAAAAAAAAAAAGTGTTTTAAAAATTTTCTCTCTGTATAGTTTTTTCTTTAAGTTTTTATTTTGAAATGATTATATATTCACAGGAAGTTACAAAAATAGTACCGAGGGGTCTGTGTACTATTATAAGAACAGTGTAATAGCAAAATCTGGTACAGAGCTTATTCGTATTCCAGCAGTTTTCCATACTTCTTTTGTGTATGTCTGTGTGATTTTATGTGTAGATTTATGTGACCACCATCAGGACACCCACTGTTCTATCACCACAGTGGTCTCTATGTCACCCCCTTATGGTCAGACTCACCCCATCCCTAACTTCTGGCTTCCCCTATTCTTTTTTCTATCTCTATAATTTTGTCATTTTGAGAATGTCATATGAATGGGCTGATGCAGTACGTAACCCTTGTGAGTGTTTTTTTTTACACTAAGCATAATACCCTTCACATCCTGGATCATCCAGGTTGTTTTGTGCATCACAAGTTCCTTTTCACTGCTGAGTGGTATTCCTTGGTATGGATATACCACAGTTTGTTTAATCATTAATTTACTGAAAGCATTTGGTTCATTTACAGTTTTGTGGCTTTATTTCAAAATTTCTTTCTCTTTCTATATTTTATAATTTATTAACATGGAATGTACACACGTATGCTCTCTTCAATTCATTTTATTTTTCATTTTTTTAAAAAATCAGCTTCTGGTTTTTTTCTTAAATTTGTTTTTAGTTGTTGATGGGCCTTTATTTCTATTTATATGCAGTGCTGAGAATTGAATCCAGGGCCTCACACATGCTAGGCAAGTGCTCTACCACTGAGCTACAACCAAGACTCTTATTTTCCATTTTTTTACACAATAATTACTTAATGATTTATAAAATTCTATCAAGTGGGTATATCATAATTAACAGTTCTCTGGGGCTTTTTTGCTTATTTTTAAGTACTCATAAAATTTATATTCTTATACTGCACACATTTGTTTAGATAGTTCCCCACTTCGGAATTATTTCCTTGGGATAAATTCCCAGGATTAGGATAACTGGATCAAATGGGTATTTAGGTTGATATTTCTTGGAATGATTTATTAAATTGTCCTAGGGAAATGATAACTGACAGTGTCACTAGACATGAGTAGGCATCTTTCTCCATATCTTGAACAACTCTGAGTTCTTTTTTTTCTTTTTTTTATTGATTGTTCAAAACATTACAGAGCTCATGATATATCATCTTTCATACATTTGACTCAATTGGGTTTTGAACTCCCATTTTTACCCCAAATATAGATTGCAGAATCACATCGGTTACACACTCATATTTTTACATAATGGCATATTAGTGACTGTTGTATTCTGCTACCTTTCCTATCTCCTACTATCCCCCCTCCCCTCCCCTCCCCTCCCATCTTCCCTCTCTACCTCCTCTGCTGTTGTTCAATTCTCTCCCTTTTTTTCCCCTCCCCCTTGCCCCTCATAACCTCTTATAATTGAGTTCTATCAGCGGTTCCCAAACTTGTCTGCACACTGGGATCTCCTGAGCCCCTTCAACATACCTGTGGCTGTGCCCCATTTCTAGAGGTTGTGATTTCAATAGTCTGAGCTTTGTCCTGGGCTTTGGAATTTTGTAACTATTCTAAGGTCATTCTAATATACAGACAAGTATGGAAACCACTGAGTTAACATCATTTGTAAAAACTTGCAGTAAGATCATAGCTGCAGAATGGTACCTCATTAGTGTTTCATTTTACACACATGTAATTATTAGAAAGAATGGACATATTATAAAAGTGTTCATTCACTATTTGTATTTCTCCTTATGAAAATCATATGTCCCTGCTCTTGTGCTTTTATTTTTAAGAAACATATCAGTTTAATTCTGGGGAACATTAACTATTAGGATCATGAATGAAGGTAATCTTACACATTTTAAAACTCACTGACTTCATGAACTTTGAGAATGTGGTAAAATTGACCAGATGTGATGGCACAAGCCTGTAAACTCAGTGTCTCAGGAGGTTGAGGCAAGAGGATCACAAGGTTGAGGCTAGCCTGGGCAACTTAGCAAGAGCTTGTCTCAAAAGAAAATTAAAAAGGGCTGGGGATGTAGCTCAGTGATAGAGCACTTGTCTGGTATGCTCAATGCCCTGGGTTCAATCCTCAATACAGAAAAACAAAACAAAAGATGGAAGATGAAATTAAAGTGCACAGGAAGCATACCTATTGCAGCAGAAGACAGGAGAAAGGTCCTAGTCTGCCCTGGAGGGCTGTGGGAGCCCAGAAGTTTCACTTTTTGGTGCCAGAGTGGGAGAGCTGAACCAGGAGCCTCTACTCCAACACTGTTTGCTTTAGGGGACTGACAGTGGGGTGCAAGCACTTTCCTATACAGGGGTGGATGATATGAGAAGAATCTGGGTACCATACCCAGCCTAATCTGCAGCCCCTACTCCCCAGGTATTGGCTATGCCTCCCAGATGATCGTCATCCTCCTTAACATCTATTATATCATTGTCCTGGCCTGGGCCCTCTTCTACCTCTTCAGCAGCTTCACCACCGACCTCCCCTGGGGAAGCTGCCACCATGAGTGGAATACAGGTAAGGCCACCACTGGAGAGTCCCCTTCTTTCTCTTGCTCTGCCACATGAACCAGGAAAGGGATTGTCCCAATATCTAGGCAACCCAATCCCCAGTCTTAACTCAGGACTCACAGAAATCAGCCAATTTGTTCATGAAAAACTCACATCAAGAATAAGTGCAAGGGGGCTGGGGATGTGGCTCAAGCAGTAGCGCGCTCGCCTGGCGTGCATGCGGCCCAGGTTCAATCCTCAGCACCGCATACCAACAAAGATGTTGTGTCTGCCGAAAAAAAAAATATATATATTAAAATTCTCTCTCTCTCTCTCTCTCTCTCTCTCTCTCTTTAAAAAAAAAGAATAAGTGCAAGGGCTGGAGTAGACAAAGGGGAATGAAGGGACAGGAGGGAGGATGGGAACAGGAATGAATGGGACATAACTTTTCTATGTTCATTTATGAATACATGACCACATCATGTATTCCTATATCCACATCATGTACAAGCACAAGAATGCGAAGTGAAACTCCATGTATGTATGATAAGTCAAAATACGTTCTACATTTATAACTAAAAAGAATGAATACAAAATTAAAAAAAAAAGAATAATTGCAAGGGGCTGAGGATGTAGCTCAGTGGAAAAGCATTTGCCACATTCAGGCAATGCAGTCCCAGCACTGCCAATAAATAAATAAATAAATAAATAAATAAATAAATAAATAAATAAATAAATAAATAAAATTAAATACTGAGAATTCACCAATGTCACAAGAAAAATGTCATAGGCTTAAATAAATTCATGTATTTGATTAATGTTTTATGCAAATAGAACTGACTTCTTTTTAAATATAGTTTATCCACTTATTTGTTTCAAGGTGAAAAATAGTGTTTGATATATATATCTATTATTTGTTTATGTACTTGTTTTTCATGTCTTCTTTCTGACACTACTTTAGGTCTCTCAAATTATAATTTATCTGGACTTAACTAGGGAATGAGCTGTTTTTTATGTCATCAATAAAATTTATAATAGCAATTAACTCCTGTGCTTCTAACACAAGGTGAGCCACCTATGGCAATAGAATCACTGAATCTAGTATATTGAAAGTAACAGTAACAACAAAAATCTAGGGTAAGGATGTCCAAAGGAATTGTCTATGAGGATGAAAATGTTCTCCACATGTCCAATACAGTAGCACCAGCTACATGTGTCTATTGAGCATCTGAAATGTGCCTAGAGCTTCTGAAGAACAGAATTTTAAATCATTTTACTTAATTTTAATTTAAATACCTATGTGGACTAGTAGCTATCCTTTTGGAGAGTACAGATGGAGAGCATGTTGACCACTGTTCTGCTTGGATTCTTATCACACAACTTGCTTTGATTGTCCAAAAAGCTTTCAGAGCTTGTCTGTGAGACCTCTGCTTTTGAAGTGGGAATGGCCATTGTGTTAGCTTTTCATCGCTGTGACAAAATACCTGACAAAAACAACTTAAAAATTAAAACTGTGGGTGCATGGTTTCTGAGGTTTCAGTCCATGGTAGGCTGGCTCCATTGCTTTGGTCCTGAGGTGAGGCAGAATATCATGCAGTAGGGCATGGTATGGAAAAGATGCTCCGCTCATGGCAGCCAGGGTAAAGAGAGAGAGAGCAAGGAAGGTACCAGGGACAAGATATAGTCCCCCAGGGCACACTTCCAGTAACCTACTTCCTCCAACCAGGCCCAGCCTTCTAAAGCTTCCATCACCTCCCAATAGTCCATTCAGCTCTGAATAATTTTACCTCAATGTATCAATCCACTGATGAGGTCAGAGCCCTCATGATCCAATCACTTCCCCAAAGCCCCACCTCTTTTTAACATCATTTCTTTGGGGACCAAGACTTCAACACATGAACCTTAGGGGACATTCCAGGTTCAAACCATAACAGACACAACCAGTTCTTTCTTGTGCAGGTAAGTGACTCAGTTTAAATCCTTTACTTGCCAAGGAAAAAATTTTTGCAGGGTTAACATGGTATTCTTCATGTCCTTATGATGTTGCCCCTGCCTTTTTTATTTTTTTCAGTGCTGGGGAATGAAGCGAGGTCTTGCATATGCTAGGCAAGTGTTCTTCCGCTGAGCTACCCCTAGCCCACCATTACCATTCTCATACTTCACATTTCCTTTCAGGCAGTTCCTTGCCCATCTCTTTCACTACTTTTATTCTACTGTCATTTGTCCATTGTCAGGTTATCTCTCCTGACACCCCAAGATTGGATTAGATTTTTCTCAAATGTATCTACTGGTATGTATATTGAACCTGGCCCTATTGTGGCACTTACCTTATTTTTTGTGTTTCTTGGCTCGATTTTTCCACTAGTTGGCAGGATCTCAAGGCAGAAAAGACTCTCTCTCCATAGCCTTTCTGTCTAGCATGGGGCTGATTAGCTTTCAAGAAAGAGTTGTTGAAGGCAAGATTTAAAAATCTTTTTTATTCTAATATTTCCTTTTTTTTTGTATCTTTGCACATGAGTCATCTTTGACAACCAGCTTATCAGATAGTAACCATTTCATCCAGATCCTAGCAGAGTGTCTCTTGAAAGAATTTTGGTGAAATTTTGTCTAGAGTTTTTGTTTCAGGACATGAGTAGACCTATCTGTCTTTGAGTCTCTGAGATAAGTCTGAGGCAAGCTGAATACCTGAGTCTTTTGTTTTCAGACATTTTTTGTCCCCTCTCTTAGTGGGTCTGGTTTCAATCAGAGCCTGGCATCTTGAATGGCGTAGGCCATCCTGTCATCAATATGAAATAATGCTTTTCTTCAAGGAGAATGATATGGTTTAGTGGAGAGAGCCTTCCATGAACGCCTACCATTTAACAGGCTCTCTTCTAAGCACTGGGGATATGGTAATGTATTTCCTGGAATTGTCATTCTAGCAAGGGAAGATAGACCATGAACAAAATAAATAAGTAGTATGTATTATGAGAGAAAATAAGGCCATGTATTATGTTAGAAGAAATGCTACGGAGAAAAATAAAACAGGGAATGAGATTCGGAGTTTAGGGGTAGGGGATTTTAATAGGACAATCAGGAAAGGCCTTCCTGAGGTTGCACTTTCATTTGAAGGAGGAGAGAGAATAAGCTGTTAAGATAGGAGGACAACCATTCTAGTTAGTGGGACAGTAAATGCAAAGGCTCTGAGGTGCATGGTGCCCAAAACGTCCAGGGATGAGCCTGGAGCCAGTGTGGCTGGAACAGGGAGAGTGGAGGGGTGTTAGGAGATGCGGGCAGAGATGTTGAGAGCTAGGTGAAAGAGGACCTTGAAGGCAACTAAAGGAGTTTTGTTTTTTTTTTTTGGAGTGGGATGAGATACCCATTATAGGGTTTGAGATGGGATTTAACATAATCATCTTGGCTGCTGTATGGAGATTTGACAAGGGAAGTGAAGGTAGAAACCAGTTAGGAGCTGTGAAATGCTGGTGACCTGCACCAGGTGGTAGTGGAGATCACAAGAAAGGTCAGAGTCTAAGTATTTTGAAAGTAGAACCCGGGCAGTTTGTTGACCTGGATTCCAGCCCACACTTGATCATTTATGAACTCTGACAGGCAATTTCTAGGAAGATTGATTTTCTTCATATATACAGTGGGGAAAACAGTATCTGTCTTAATATTTCCTCGGATGATTATACTGATAAAATATTAAAAAGAATGTCAACTCTCTATGTGAAACTCCAAAGTGACATACAAATAATCAAGAACACTTTATGGAGCACTTTAGATTTACATTTTAATTTAATCCCCCTATCAATCCTACTAGAGAGACATTAATGTCTGCATTTTGGAGATCAGGGAAATGACACTTGAGCAGAGAGTTTTCACAAGGTCACACAGCAGATATCCAGAGCATTGGGATCCAGCCCAGCGCTTTCTGACCTTGCCTTGGTATCTGAGGTCTTGGCCTCTGTGCTCCATTACTTTCTAGAAGGCATTTATACTATTCCTCAAAGGCTGTGACTTTACACAGTTTGGTTTCCTGGAATTAGTGTATATATTTTGAAGCAGCTAGCATGCAGAGCACCTTACCTCATGCTGTCTGATGGTGCTTTAAGGAGAACATGCATGCAAACATCTATAAGCCCCCAGTAAAGGTGCAGCGGGGAGTTGAGGTGGGTTTGTGGAGGATGAGGAGGTTTTGTAGAATGATGGCCCAGTTCTTCCAGATACCTTACCTTCATTCTCCTAAAATTCCATACCGTTCTCTCTAGTTTTGCCAAATTTTGGCTGATGAACTTTCTCTCTCTTCCTTCCCTGGGGCCCACGGGTAGAGAACTGTGTGGAGTTCCAGAAGACCAATGGATCCCTGAATGTGACCACTGAGAATGCCACGTCCCCTGTCATCGAGTTCTGGGAGTAAGTGAGGCCCTGTCCCCATGTGAATGTGGGAGGCGTGTTCCACAGAAGGGTAGAGGGTATAGTTCTCACTGGAGAGCAAGGAAGAGTTTCTTCTTTCCTGGTCCTGTCACCCGTGTGCCCTTTTTCTGTGGTGTCTGTATTGGTGGTTATGCAGGACTGGTTTCAGAGATGAGTAGTTCTTCTCAGGCTGTGCTGGCCTTTTCCTCACGTCAGAGAGGGAACATGCATGTGTATTCACTCTGCTAACACCCTCCTCTCTTTGACTCTTGTATGTTGCCCCTTATCCAGCCCATTCCCCCAAATGTTGATATTCACCCAGTGTGTGATCCCTGATGACAGCCTAAAATCCTGGTTGAGAAAATGCATGCTTGCACCTCTTTCCCTGTTTTAAATTAGTACTCAGAGCAAACTTCCCTGGGCACAGTTTTTATTTGCCACCCTTTAAATCTAGCTCCATCTCCAGGCAAAGGAGAGCCTCACAGTCCCAGTAAAAAGAGTTGACCTACCTTCAGAGAGAGCCCGGAGGCGTGGCTCTGCAAGACCCACAGGCTACAAAACTGAGAATCAGGGCTGGGGTGCAGCTCAGTGGTGGGGTGCTTGACTAGCATGTGTGAAGTTCTGGATTCCACCCCAAATCCCTCCAACCTCGAAAAAAAAAGAAAGAAAAAAGGAAAGAAAAGAGGGAAGGAAGGAGTGAAGGAAGAAAAGAAGGAAGGAAGGAAAGAAAGGAGAGAGAGAGAGAATGAGAATTTTTAGTCAACTTTTTCACTGCTGCAACGGAAAGACCTGACCAGAACAACTGTAGAGGAGAAAAGGTTTACTTAGGGGCTCATGGTTTCAGAGGTCTCAATCCATAAAAGGCTGGCTCCAATTTTCGGGGCTCCAGGTGAGGAAGGACATCATGGCAGAAGAATGTGGTAGAGGAAAGCAGCTCTCATGATGATCAGAAAGCAGAGAGAGACTGCACTCTCCAGATACAAAATATATACCCCTCAGCCACAGCCCCCATGAACCACCTCTTCCAGTCTCACCCCTCCCTCCTCCAGCCACAACCCGGTTAATCCCATCAGGGGACAAGTCACTGATTAGGTTAAGGTTCTGCTCCAATCATTTCTCCTCCAAATCTTGTTGCATTGTTTCACATGTGAGCTTTTGGGGGACACCTCACATCCAAACCATAACAGAGAGAGACCTGAGGCTGACATCCAAAGTGGAACCAAGCTCACTCTTTTCTCCCCAGGAGGCGGGTCCTGAAGATCTCTGATGGCATCCAGCACCTGGGGGCCCTGCGCTGGGAGTTGGTCTTATGTCTCATGCTCGCATGGGTCATCTGCTACTTCTGCATCTGGAAGGGGGTCAAGTCCACAGGCAAGGTCTGTATTAGACAGCCCCCGCCCCCCTATCCTGGGACTCCCTGCCCTAGTCTGGGGACTGTCACCCAGTTGTGGTCTAGTCTGGAATGGGAGCGAAGATTTTATGTGCTTCCCTTCCTTGATTCTGTGCCTCTCCTGGAATCAATCCCATGTACTTCTGGGAAGTGAAACAGGAGAAACAAAGGCAGGGAGAACCCTTCCAGGAGTTCCATCTTGGAATTTTCCATGTGTGTGAGCACACTGCATGCCGAACACTGTTTGTGGCTTTTTATTTCATATACAACATTTTCTGTGGATAAGGAATTCCACTGAGACTCTTCACCTCCAAATGATTTCCAACCAACTCAAGAATTTGGGAGTCTGAGGTGCTAGAGGGTAGGCTAAGCTGGACTCTCGCACTGGAGGCTTCAACAAGACTTCTTTTCTAATTTGGCTGCCTGGTTGTGCTAAGCTCGTAAACTCTTGTGAGGAAGAGATCACATGTTACAGATCTTTTCATACCTGACAACTCTTGCCAGAATTCCAAGCACTCTTGTTGGAAGAATGCCTAAATTCATTCAGTCACTTGACAAATATTTGCTGAATATGTGCTGGGGAGGGCAAATGCTTAAACTGGAGGGAGGAGGGGTGAGGGAGGTAGTGACCCAAGGTTTCAGGGAGATGGAGCTGAACAGCTGCACGGTGGAGGGAGGGAGCAGGAGAGGAGCTCCCCTGCCCTTTTTGGTGGGGTGAGAGCTTCTGCCTCTTGTCTCTGCTGCTGAGTCTTGGGGTCCCTCCTTCCTAACTCACAAGTTCCTTGTCACTCATCTGCTCTTGACCAGGTGGTGTACTTCACAGCCACATTCCCTTACCTCATGCTGGTAGTCCTGTTAATTCGAGGAGTGACACTACCTGGTGCCGCCCAAGGAATCCAGTTTTATCTGTACCCCAACCTCACACGTCTGTGGGATCCCCAGGTAAGAAGCCACAGGCAAGGGCTCTGGGGGCTTTGCTCTGGGGGAGTCTTGGTTCCTGGCTCATCCCCAGGGCATCCCTGGAGATGGTGGGGTTCACCCTTCCTTCTGCAGACATGTGTTGGCAGTGGTTTGTGGTTATAAGGTGTCTGACATTGCCCTTTCTTGGTCCACAGCTTCCAGAGAACCCAGGGGGCCTGAAGCCCTAGCTATATTTCTCAGGGACTGCAAATATGTCAGTCACTGAACACCTTTCTTATGAGCTGAGCTCCTTTCCTCTTGTCTACCCATTTTTCTCATGTTTGCATTTTTTTCTTCTTCTCCATTTCCTTCTCCCAAACTTCCTCTCTAGTTCTTGTCTGGTGTCTTCCTTCCACCATGTGACCCTTTGGGGGGGGGCGGGCAGTTCCTAGCCCCTCCCCACACTAGTTGGCTGGGTCTTTTCCCCTTCCCTCGGCCCTTCCTTGGTTGCCCACACTCCCTCGGAGACAGTCAGCTTCCTTACAGCTCCACAGGGAGGGAGGGGGTGGTGCTGCTGGTCTTATTTTCTCCTCTTTGAGAGCCATTTTGAAAGCTGGCAAAGCCAATGGGAGTATGGGTAAGCTCCACCCCAGAGCCTCCCAGATTGTGTTACCCAGTTCAGGACCATGTCTCTGCCTCTGCCTCCTTGGCACAGAGGGGAGTATTGTATAATTTAGAGCTGCTCCTCTGGGTTGTCCAAGGTTCCCTGTGACTGTGCAAGGGGCCCCCAGGAGACTCAAGGGCAGATGACTTTCCAGGCTTACGACTATAAGATGGCCTTCCAGAACTTTCACATAGCGCAGCGCCAGACAATCACTGAAGACACTGAGTGGGAGAAAAAGACTAGGACAGGCATGCAGCTCCAGAGTTCCTTCTCAAGACCCAGGAACTCGGTTTACCCCAGAAGCAACAGCTCTCCATTGGGAGGAATTTGCGGGTGATCTAGAAGCTAAACCACTCTCATCTCCTAGCCCCCCTGGCAGAATTGTGAGGCTTCCCTCTTGACTTGTCCTGGTACTGATGTGGCTCCCAGAAGCAGCCAGACCAGCCCTACTCAGAAATCTCCCCACGGAGTCCAGTGATCTTTGTCCTGGGTGTGTCTCAATGGTCTTCCAGTGGGAAGAATTTATCTTTTTGCTCTTCCATTTCTTTTCTTTCTTTTTTCCTTCCTCTTTCCTTTCTCCCTTTTGACAGTGTGACCTCAAACTTGGAATCCTCCTGCCTTCACCTCCCCAGTCACTGGGGTTACAGGTGTGCACCGCCATATTCTGGCTTCTCCCATTTCTTACACATTATAGAAATGCAGATTGCTATTTCCTCATTTTATGCAGGCTGCAATAAGGTTGTGGAGCCAGTTTACAGAGACAAACGTGTTGAAGCTAAAAGGATTCCGGAGATCATCTAGTGCAGCCTCCTCGCTGCACAAATGAGTAAACTGTGAGCTCAGGGGGGAAAAAAAGCAATGTAAAGGTGTATTTTGTTTCCTAAATCATAAGCCCTTTTGACTTATATGAAACCAAGGGCTGTGATAGAGAGTAGGCAGTAAGCAGGAGGTTGTGGGGGCAGTATATTTGAGAAAGGCTTTGAAGGTCAAGCAAAGAGTCTGGTGTGGGTCTGCCATGCAAGAGGAAGCACTGTGGTTCTGGAGCTGCAGAGCTGTGAACCAGTGGCTAAAACTCAGCTTTCCTTGCAGATAGGGCTGGGTTGAGAGAAAGGGGAAATGGGCAGGGAGACATGCAGGTAGGCTGAAAGAGGAAAAGGAAAGTGGGCTTTGTCTTGATCAGCTATTTATAGCTAACAATTGGTGAGGGCTTACTATGTCCCTGGCACTGTTGAGAGGTTTAAATGCATTGTTTCAGATAATCCTCACAGCAGATCCATGAGGTATCTCCTCCATTTTATAGACAACGAAATTGAGGCCTAGAGAGCTTAAAGGATTTTCCATCTTCACACCTGCAACTGGAACCAGGTCTGAATGATGATAAATACCATACACTTTTATGATCTCCTCTTGAAGGCAAGGCTCCTGTCTGCTCATATTTGTTTCTTTCACAAGCTCACTCATTCAGCAAAAAAAAATGTGTTGAGCATCTATTATATGTCAGGCCTGTTCTAGGTACCATATTTGGTGTATAATAGCTTCCAGCCAACTTGAAAGTGGGCCAGGTAGCCTTCAACTCTGAGAATTAACAAGGCCACGAGCCTGTGTCTGGGTGACTGCAGGGAATAAGACTTATTTTAATCTGCACTCTGGACACCATCCTTCCAACCCCAGCCAGCTGTGGGCTGTTCAGGGAGCATATGTCTTCCAAGGGTTTTGAGGCTGCAGGGAGGGAGCTGTTTCAAGAGCAGCCTGGTCCTGGTCCCATGAGGAAGCCAGGCCTTTGTCATCAGTGAGCAGAGAGCACCTGCAGGGTGGGATGCCCTGCCAGAGCCCTAATTGAATCTAGTTGGCACTCCCCAGGAAGTGTGATAATTCCAACTGGCATTTGCCTGGCACTTGAGAAAGGTGCAAAAATCCCTGTTAGCCAACACAAAGACCAAAGACATCTCCCTCTGCCAAGCACGGAGGCTGGGGGCTGGGAGCCAGGCAGAGACACTGCTGGGTTCCCCTCCTGTTTCCGCCTTTTTCTCTGCCAGGCTTGCTGTGCTTTGGGCGAGTTGCTACCTTTTCTGGTCTCCAGGGCACCTCCCTTTCATACTAGGGAATGGCCCCTGCCCCCCCACCTGATGTGTGCTTCATTCAGGTGGCGTGTTGCTTTCCCTCGTCCTGTCTTTCATTCTCCTGAACTTTGGTCCATGGATGGGGACAGGGGGATGGCAGTGGGGTGTCCAAAGAGCCCTGTTGAATCTTTTACATTTCTGTGTTAAGTAATTCTGATGAAGGTTTTGTCTAGGGAGGAGGTTGAAACCACAGATTAGAACTAGTCTTATTTAGCGTGGTACATTGAAATCCATGCTATCTCATTATCACTGAAAGGTGAGTTGCTCTGTAAGATGGTAGCAGCAATAAACAGCAGCAAAAGCTTGCATGAGTGCTTGACAAAATCTAATATTCACACCAACCCTGTGAGTCAGAGGTTAGCCTCATTTTACAGATAGAGACACGCTTAGGAAACTCAAAGACACTTGCCCAAAATCACAAAACTAGCATGTTGGGGAGCTTGTGTTTCCTCTCAAATAGTTTTTTTGGAGTCTGCTATCTTATTCATGTGATACATCTTTTCCAAAGGATATGAATTATTTAAAAGTTTTAAATGCTGTTTTCTAACCTGAGCACAGTAGTGCATGCCTGTAATCCCAGCAACTCAGGAGGATTTGCAAGTTCCAGGCCAGCCTCAGCAATTTAGCAAGGTCCTAAGCAGCTTAGTGAGACCCTGTCTCAAAGTAAAAATAAAAAAGGGGGCTGGGGATGTGGCTCAGTGGGTAAGTACCCCCTGAGTTCAATCCCCAGTACCAAAAAAAAAAAAAAAAAAAAAAAAAAGCTGTTTTCTAAAGGAGGCAATAGGAAACTTTAATTTATTTTGTGTTAGGCATTTTTACACATTATTTTATTTGTTGTATTTATACCCATTTTTCTGATGAGGAAAGGGAGGTTCTGAGAGGTCAAGTGACTTGTCTAAGATCACACAACCAGTCATCAATAGAGTTGGAAATTAAAGCTGGATTGTCCTGACCACGCTTTTCCATTTCACACTAATAGGTAATCATAATCCTGGGGGCTGAACTCAAGGTTGAAAACGTCTTTCCTGGATTTTTCTACAGGTTTCTCTCTTCCTCTTTCCTGTGAACAGCCTCATTTCGTCCACATTCTTACAAGTGTTTTTCAATCTTGGTTTTTTCTTGATCTGTCTTCTGCCCCAGCCAAAGGCACATCAGAGTTTTGTTCTGGAAACCGGGGCTCCTGCAATGGGCAGATAGGAGGAGATCTCCTGTGGTGGGGAATGGAACAGTTTGCTCTGTGTGTTCCTTCAGCTTCCTTTTGACCCCATTCCCATCTCCCATCCCAGCAGGCTTGTCAGGCAGTGGCTCTGTGAAGAGCTGGGCCTGCCAAGCCCCCGGGGGAGAGGGCTTTGGTCCAAGGCTCCACTGGACCTTGAGCTCTAAAGGCTGCAACCTCCTGCAGGTTTCTCTGTTCTCATTAATCTGTATTCCCAACTCCTTCTCAGCCTGCCCCCTACACCTCCCACCCCTGCGGGGGGGTTTGAGATGAGCAGCCAAGTCACGATTTCCCTTAGTACTTCTTTTGTGCGTCTTACACGATCCTTTTTCCTTGGTGGCAACTCCTGCCTCAGGGAACACCAGGGATAGGATTCCCAGTGAGTGAAGGGACAGAAGATGGGAAACATTCTCGCCTTTCCTCCATCTTTCTGTGCTTGATCCCCATTCATGCATGAAATGGATGCACAACAAGAGGAATGTCCTAGGTGTTTCCCTGATATCAGTTCTCAGGGCTGCAGGGCTGTGATTCCCACACCTGGTTGCTATTCATTAGCACCACCAGGAAGCTTTGAAAATGGTACTGTTTCTGGGTTCTCCTCCAGCCCTTGATATTGGGGATGCTGACTCTGAGGTAGTTCACTTGCCTATGGGGTCCCCCGACCTTACAATGTGAAGGAAAATGGGCACTTGGGTATGGCTGAGTAGGATGTGGGAGAGCAACGGGCAAAGAGATGGAGGGTGGTGGTGATGGTTAGAAGGCAGGGAAACTCCAAGGCTGTGGAACATTGGTTTATGGGGGAACTGGAGGCTGCTTTTAGTGGAAGAAAACCATGGGGGCTGGAGGATTTGGGGGTCCTGAGTAGGCTAAGCAGAAGGCACAGATAAGACTGTTCAGTGTCCCTCTGTAAGGACACCTGCCTGGGCAATGTCTGCATCCACAGTTGGTGCTCCCTGGTGGTGCACTGTTTCCTGAAGGGAGGGTGCCTGGGGAGGGTCTGGAGCCACAGGACCCCATCTCCTGCAGCTCTGAAGAGTTGCTTACTCCTGTTGCCTTGATATTCTTTCTCATCGGGATGTTATTCTAGCTGTTAGAACTAAATCACAACATGCAAAGCGGGGTCAGCCAGCTGCAATAACAACAGCAATAACCATGCCTCGGCTTAGCTGGATAGGTATTTTCCGTATGCATTTCTGTTCTTCCTGGAGACTTCTTGTGAGTGGAGGATCACTCTCCCCGCTTTTCAGACAGAGGATTTTGAGAAGGAGGAACAAAGCTACATGCTTGAGATGGCCCTGATATCTAGGACCCACAGTCCTAGGGAGCCTGTACCTGGATCCCTTCCCTGCTGGTCACAGTGCTATGAGAACCTGGAATAGGAGAAAGTGGGGGCAGAACCCAGGTTTTGTTTCCCATTATAGAACACTTGACCTCAAACCTCGCTTTGTTCTAGAGCTTTGCCCTGTCCTCCTAGGCCTTCCACCAGGGTCCTGTGGTCTTGTTCTTTGAATGCCTAGTGCCTGTTTCATCTTGGTGAAGATACTCCATCCAGGGCCCAGAGAGAAGAGCCACTGGGTTTGTGGGGTTGGCGGAAAGTGCCGGCAATGGCTGAGAGCAGGTTCTCACCATCCCTAGGCAGCATCTGGCTCATGCCTGTGTCTTCCCTTGGAGGCCCAGTGGCCTGGCTCTCCTGGAGTTCAGCTTTCTTCTGCCTTTGCAGGTGTGGATGGACGCTGGCACCCAGATCTTCTTCTCCTTTGCCATCTGTTTGGGCTGCCTCACGGCCCTGGGCAGCTACAACAAGTATCACAACAACTGCTACAGGTGATTGGGAGAGTGGGACCTGAACCACACGCCTATATCTCTGATGTTTCCCTAGCCATGCTAGACCAGGGTTGAGCTGCACCAGCTACTGCATTGCCCCCTATCTGTACCCCCAGTTTCCAATACCACAGAGCTATGGGGGGGGGGTTAGAATGTGTAGAGCGATTGCTTCTGAAAAAAGTGGAATAGTAGTGGGAGACCAAAAGAGGGACCTAGCCCATCCTGGCTGATTCAGAGGTCAGTGGGATCTGGAGTTGTAGTTAAGCAAGACTGAGAAGCAGTATCATACAGTGGAGGCCTGGTCTTGCCTGCTTAGTTTGCCCCAGCAAACACGGAATCAATACCCATTTTCACTTCATCTCTTGGGCATTCTTCCCATAGGCCCCTCCCTCACTTTATGTCCTCTCCGCAGTGTTCCTTCCTGCCTACCTGGTTAATGCTCAGAGAATCTAAGCCAATTTTAGTTTAGCTGAAATATAGCAAGAAAAAAAAAAACCTATCATGCATTTCAAAATCACACCTAGATGCCCAAGAATTATTTGTTTGTTTCTTTGCTTTAAATGATCCATGTCCATGTCAGAAGGAATTATATCAGAGTTGCAATGAACTTCAAGAAGTGTGGAAGCAATATGACAGGGAGGGGAGGCTGTGTGGCAGTTGGTAATATTTAGATTTACATTTTACTTCCTTTGAGCACCATTCTTTTAGGATGATGTGTTAGTTAGCTTTTTGTTGCTGTGGCAAACACCTAAGAAAAACAACTCAGAGGAAGACAGATTTATTTTGGTTTGTGGTTTCAGAGGTTTCAGTTGGTGGTTTGCAGGCTCCATTGCTTTGTGTCTGAGGTGAAGCAGAGCATCATGGCGGAAAGGCATGGCGGAGGAAAGCTGTCAGCACGTGGCAGCCAGGAAGCCGAGAAAGCAGGAGTGTGGGGACGAGAGGAATGACTAGGGACAAGATATAGACACCAAGGGCATGTCCCCAGTAGTCCATTCAGCTATCAATGGATTAATCCACTGGTGAGGTCAGAGCCCTCACGATGCAGTCACTTGCCCCAAACCCCTCCTCTGAGCATTGCTGCACTGGGAACCAAGGTTTTAAACACACGAGTCTGTGGGGGATACTTCATATACAAATGATGACAGACCACCTTGATTTACTCTACATTTGAGCAAGCTTTGGGGGGCCAGGGGAGTGGGGCAGAGCTGACCCTTTGAATAGTCATCTGAATTCTGCAAGGAGCCCTGCCCCTGGCCTCTGCGAAGATGCCAGGATGAGTATCTGCCAGGAGGGGTTGTGTTTCCCGGAGGATCCTGTTGCAGACTGAGACTCTGATAGCCCCTGTCTGACCTGGCCTGTTGCCTTCTTCTCCCATCTGCCCCCACACAGGGACTGCATTGCCCTCTGCTTCCTCAACAGTGGCACCAGCTTTGTGGCCGGGTTTGCCATCTTCTCCATCCTGGGATTCATGTCTCAGGAGCAGGGGGTGCCTATTTCTGAGGTTGCTGAGTCAGGTGAGTGTTGCTGGGAAGTGCTGAAGGCACTGGATTCTGTGAGCCTGGTTTGAAACTTTGGCAATCAGGATCCAGAGGTGATGGCCAAGAAGTTTCAGATTTTGGAGCATTTTAGATTTTAGATATTCAAATTAGGGATATTCAACTGGTCAAGCTTATGCAAATATCCCCCAAATCCCAACACTTCTGGTTCCTAGCATTTCATTTGAGGGATGCTCAACCTGAATGTGTCAAGCATTGTGTGAGGCATTTGCATGAAGCATGTGATACAAACCTGTTCCCAGTATGGGAACTGACACTTGAAGAAGCAGATGATGGTCCGAGATCACAGTGGTACTTTTTATTTTTCAGAGGGAGTTTCTTATGGACAAACCAGGCTCTGGCATGTGCATTTGTTCTTTGCCATTTGAGTCAACTGAGAACAACATTCATATTTTGAGAATACCATGTGTGTCAATGGTATTCTAAAATGAATGCCAGTTTACTTACTGTAGGGTGAGAAGCCCCAGGCCAAATCCGGCTCTAGAGGCATTTTCTTTGGTACCATCTACTTCCTAAACACATTGTGATGGCCCTCAGTTGGACCATGATTGTTCCCTTTCTCACCAGGCCCTCCCTACAACTTCCTCTTATTTCACAGCGAATTAGCTTCACATATTTACATGGCCTGCTGGTTCCTGAACTCACTCCAGGTTTGGAACCTCTGGTTTGGAGCAGTAGATCTGGAGGCCCATCACTCTTTTACAGAAAGTCCTTTGTATCTAGGGTCTCTAGGTTCTCTTCTTGCCAGTGAGAACGTGATGGGTGGTGCTCTGGAAATTCAGGGATCCGGTAGAGGTTTGGGTGGCTTGTCCTGGGCCAGGAAGGTGGTGATGATGGTAACTTTGGGGTTTCCTCCGACTCTGTTATTCCAAGGTCCCCTATCGGGAGGCCCTGGGACACTGAGGCCTGGAGCTGTGTTGCTCTGCTTCTGTTGTAGGCCCTGGCTTGGCCTTCATCGCCTACCCTCGGGCTGTGGTGATGCTGCCCTTCTCTCCCCTCTGGGCCTGCTGTTTCTTCTTCATGGTCGTTCTTCTGGGACTAGATAGCCAGGTATCAAGAGGTGGTCTCTCAGAGCATGAGAGATGAGTGGGTATGGGGGGGGGCTGGGGCAGGGGGCACAGAGAGTATGAGGTTGAGCTTTATTCCCCAAGGATCCTTAAAATAGTTGGGGACTAGGCAAACGTCAGAAGTGGACCCAGAGGAGCTTGTAGAGTAGGTCCACACTGACCATGCAAAGACCGCAGCTCTGGGGACTAGTGACAGGAATGCTGGCAGGCCTGACCCTAGGAGTAAGAAGCCAGAGCTGGCGGACAGGCTTCTTGTGGGAGCTCTCTTTCCCTCCAATTCTTTTGCCCTCTCATCCAGTTTGTGTGCGTAGAGAGCCTGGTGACGGCGCTGGTGGACATGTATCCCCGGGTGTTCCGCAAGAAGAACCGGAGGGAGATCCTCATCCTTGCAGTGTCTGTCGTCTCCTTCCTGGTGGGGCTGGTCATGCTCACAGAGGTGAGGGTCTGGAAGGCCGGAAGGGGGGACCTGCAGAGGAGGAGGAGCCAAGAGGACTGTTTCTGTCAGGTGGGGTAGGCTGCTAGGGTTCCAGGTCACAGGACAGGCCCTCCGGGAGTCAGGGTACCTCTTCCCCCTCCCCCACTCCCCACCCAGAAAAGATGGCTGAAGGGTAACTTGGCTCCATGGTAAGTGAAGACTTATGGAAAGGACGGATGGGAAGTCCTCTAGAGTGGCCTCTCTAGCAAGAGGGTATGATTTCCTAGGTCTTTGAACCAAGTGCAGTGAAGGACCTCAAAGGGAGAAGGGTGGCCCTAGGATGGATGGGTGACATTCTGAGTGATGTCCCAGGGGTGAAGAAGGGCAATGGAGCTTGTCAGTTTGACAATACCAGACGACCCATATCCTGATTCTTTCTCACAAGAGTACACACCATGCCTTAGGCTTCTGAAGCAATCCCTAGATGTTCTCAGGGAGCCATAGCTGTGTGATCTCATCTTCTTTCGGAAAACAATAACAAAAAACAATTATTGTCCATATCTGCCGAGTGCTTTGCAGTTTACCTACTGCATTCTCTTTTTATCTCTTGTGATCTTCACCAATGCTGCTTTGTGTTCCAAAGTCGTGAGGCTGAGGCGCACGGGGGGTAAATCCATTGTTTCCTCTGGCTAATCTCCTTCCTTCCAGGGTGGCATGTACGTGTTTCAGCTCTTTGACTACTATGCAGCCAGTGGCATGTGCCTCCTGTTCGTGGCCATCTTTGAGTCTCTTTGTGTGGCTTGGGTTTATGGTGAGTGGCTTTCCCCGCTGGGTCCCAACTCTAGCTCCAGTGCTCTCCTTCTCCCCAGGGCCCTTAGACCAAGGGGAGATATTTATAGCTCTCACCACCTTTCCCCAGACTCCACCCTACCCAACCTCAAGCCTCAACCCAAGAGGCTGCCTTTGGAAGGGCCTTGCCCACACACCTGTCATAGCACACCTGGACCATTTCAGATGGGTCCACATCCTGTCTCATCCCAGCCTTTTCATCTTTTAACCACCTTAATAACCAAGAAGTGTTGCCTCTCCCTAAGCCAAGTACTACTGGCTGCTCCCATAATATCTTTTATTTACTGGTCCTGGCCCATCCTAGTCTGTGGCCCCTTTCCTGACTCTTCAGATGCTGGAGAATGTCCTTTCTCCCCCTTCCTTCTTCTCTTCTCCGTGGTAGGAGCCAGGCGCTTCTATGACAACATTGAAGATATGATTGGGTACAGGCCATGGCCTCTTATCAAATATGGTTGGCTCTTTTTCACGCCAGCTGTGTGCACGGTAAGGTAGTCCTCAAGAGGTAAAGACAGATGAAGGAAGGGAGAGATGGTGGTGGCTGCAGGGTAGAGGTCATGAGCTCTTGAGTGGACTTCTCCCTAGGAGTTGACAATCACCTTAGATTTTTCACTCCTCCCCCTGTTGGAGCTTAGAAAACTACAGCAAGATAGATTCTTCCTTTTCATTTCAAGGAGGGATACACTGAGGTACAGGCTGTTAGACAGTTTGATCGACAGCCCAGTGCGAGTCTCAAGTCACAGTCAGAACTTAGCCCAAGGGTTGGGCTACTCGGAATAATGTTGATAACCATGGTGGCCATAATAGCAGTAGTTATAGAGCACGAACTTTGTGCCTGGCACAAAGAGTTTCACACAAGAACCCTGACTACCAATGACACTCATTTTACAGATGAAATTGAAGCTTAAGAGGTGAAGCAACTTACTCAGCCAGAAAGTCATAGAGAGCAAGGATTCAAACTTGCTCCAGAGTTTGAGCCTTAAACTATGATGTGATGTGCTCTGGCTTCATCTGCTTCTGTCAGGAGTCCCCAGAGCCCCCACTGTGTGCACAATATAAATGAGGAAAGAGGGAGAGGGAGGCATGATCACTACCAGGAGGTACTCATTGCCCAAACTCCTGAGTGGGAGATATAAACACCTTAAAGCACCCAGCATACACACAGTCATGTCCTAAAGGTGCCCAGGGACACAAGCGCCCTGGAGTGACATGGTGTGTGCCCTGGAAGTACAGATTGGGGACGTGGATTTTGAGCAGAATATGGGTGGAGATTGGAGACTGGTCCAGATAAACCTGGATGCAAATCCTACAGGCCAGCTGTGGGGAGAGGGGAATGAGGACTGAAGACACGGTTCCTCCTCCGCCACATCCTCTTTCTTTTCCTCTTCCACCCCCAGGCCACCTTCCTGTTCTCCCTGGTCAAGTACACTCCACTGACCTACAACAAGAAGTACACATACCCATGGTGGGGTGATGCCCTGGGCTGGCTCCTGGCTCTGTCCTCCATGGTCTGCATTCCTGCCTGGAGCTTATACAAACTCAGCACTCTCAAGGGCTCCTTCAGAGAGGTATGGAGGAAAGCAGTCAGAGCTCGGCACCTTGTTGGGTGAGGAAGGCCCCTGGATGACGGTGGGCTGCCTTCAGGGGTAGGAGCTGGTACACAGAGGAGCCAGCGGCTGGTGTGGGTGCAAGACTATGATGATAGGCCTGGTACCTGGAGGTAAGTTTATGGGGCTGCAGGCAGACTTTGATGATAAGGGGTTCTGGCAGACAGCCCCCCCCCACTCCACCATGTGACAACTACCTCCACTGTCCTTGCAGAGAATCCGCCAGCTCACATGCCCAGCTGAGGACCTGCCCAAATGGAACCAAGGAGGACCCCCTGCCCCTGCCACACATACAACGTCACTTCTCAGAACGTCACTCAAAGAACCCGAGTCTCACTGCTAGGGTCCGGACTCTCAGATGGTGCCTGTGAGCTTGGGTGTGGGGCCAACTGCAGGAGCAGAGGGCCAATGCAGTCCCTCTCTGCTTCCCTGCTCCCCACCTGGGGCAGACAAGACAAAAGATATTTGCCAAATAGCCCAAAAGATATTTGGGGATCTGCCTTCCGCACTGGGGGCCTTCCACTCCAACTTCCCTGCTCCAGGGGTGGTCTAAACAGTTGTGAGATGCCAGTATCAAGAGGACCCCTTTGAGGCAGCTTGGGAAGCTAGCTGGGTGAGGGCTGGCGGGGTGAGAGCATGGCTGGCGTCTGGCCTTCTACCCTTCATTCCATTAAACCCATCTTCCCCCTGACTCTTGCAGTTCTGTCTGGTTTCTGCCCTCTGCCTTGTGCCTTGGCCACCTTCCCACTTTGAATCTGGGGCTGTAGGACCCTTCCTCTCCCTTCCCTCGCCTTCCCTCAGTGAGTTCTCCTTGTGGACCACTTAGCAGAGGGTATTGCTGTGGTGGGAGGGTGACAGGGCCAAGCCACAACCCTTCATTATCAGACATTTGGACTAGAGGAAGCTTCCACACCTCTCCCATGCTTCCCTTCTCTCCTCCTTTGCTTTGCAGGATAAGAAAGGAGATGGAGGCAAGGATAGGGGAGCCCTGGGCACTAGCTACAGGAAAGTAAAAGCCTGGTTGCAGCTTCTTCTTGCCTGCATTCCCTTTGTTGTGTCCTTGCCTGCCCTTGAAGTTGGTCTGTGCGTGCCCACTCAAGACCTGGTGCTGGGGACCTAAGAGAGGGCCAGCAGGCCTTGCCATTGCCCATGGGAGGAGGGCAAGGAGAGCCTTGGCAGAGGAGGGCACTACCCCAACTCTGCCAGTAGAGGGATCCCACCGCCCCAGGATGGCCTTGCTCCTTTTATGTTTTGCAAAAGGATGCTGTCGCCATTAAATGTGGCCACAAGGGGGTGGCACTGCCATGACCTCCACTTCACTGTCAGAGCCTAAGTTGTAGAGATAAACCCCTAGGGTTAGGCTGCAAAGAGGGTCCAGGTGGAAGGCAAAGTCCAGTCATAGTGATTTGAGTCCCCTTCCGGAGATTCACAAATGGTAAAATATGGCGTGAAAATCACTGCCTGGCTCAAAAATCAGGAGCTAGGGTTCTGGTCCTGACTTACCTCTAACTTGCCGTTTGTCTGTGTGGAAGCTCCTTGGACTTCGTGTTCATTTTTCAGATGCACCGTTCACTGCACCTACAACCCCATCCAGTGGCATTCATCTGTCCATCTGTCTGTTGTAGGGCTCTGATGAGGCCATGGGTGTGAGAGTCCTTTCAGTCTTTTGAGGCCAATGAGTGTGAGGTCACTAAATCTTTGGGGAGATGGGTGAGGGGAGGTTCTCTGGCCATCCAGGAGTGAGGAGCTGACAGGTACTAATGTGAGAAATGCTGCTGGTTTGAGGTCAGAGTTGAGAGCAGCAGTTCCTGCACTTGGTTTAGGCCAAGGTAGGGGACAAGATGAGAGTGGGGGTGAAGGAGGGCTGTTTTTGTCCCCATCTGCTTTCCTTGCCTGGAATGGCAGAGACAATTTCCAGAGGAAGAGAGCACAACAGGATGGGGAACCTCCCTTGTCCAAAGGCTACACCTGTTAGAGAAGCAGGTGGGGAGAGTCTTGGGCAGGTGATAGCAAACAGCAGAAGCATGAATAACTGGAGATTTCCAAACTGAGGCTTAGTGCAGTAGCAAGCACTTGTTGGACACTTGGCTCACCAAGCTGCCTTGGGGCCTCAGACCTCATGCCTTAGACCTTACAAACAGATATATTTAGGTCTCTGATTCATACATGTGTGTACACACAGTTTCTCACTATCCTTAGACAAATGTCCACACGTGCGCAAAGTTAGAGGCCCCACAGTCAGCTGAGCACACTCCTTTACTGAGACTCGCGGTCCTGACTTAGATCTTATTAGCTGTAAGGCCTTGGGCAAGATAACCTCTTGGATCCTTAGTTTTCTCCTCTGAAAAATGAGGATCATACTATTTATGTCATAGAAGTCACTGTCGTCCAGTAGAGAGAATAGTGACAGCTGCCCTGGGGACACTCAAGCAAATCCCTTGTATTTACCCCACATGGGACTGTCAGTATAACAGAAAAGCCCAGGATGAAATGAGACATCCTTGCTGTCCACTATGTTGCACTGGGCTCCATGAAGGAGAATACACATTTATTGAGTTAAACTTATTTGTTAGGAGGCAAGGGAGAGGCAGTCCTAAAAAAGTACCCAGCCTGTGGCCCCGCAGCCCTGCTCATCACAGCAGTATTGTCCAAGGAAAGCAGGACCTGAGCCTCCCTGCTTTAGCTTATTCCCCGGTCCTGGGAGAGCAAAGCCTTCCCAGGATAGGAAAGGTGGGGATCATGTTTTCCCCATCAAGTTGCATTCATCTGTCCATCTGTGTATCAGTTCATCCATACATCCATGTAATCAGTAAAAACCAAGTGCCTACTGTGAGGCAGTATTGTATTAAATGCTAGCAGCAGAAACAAAGAATTATGAAATGAAACCCCTGACATTTATATATGTATGGTCTGGTAAATAGTATGCTGCATAGATTTTGGGAACCAAGAGACCCAGATTCAAATCCCTGTTCTATCATTGACTAGTGCATGGCCATGTGACAAATCACTTAGCATATATTCTCCCTAGCATTCTCTTCTGTAAAATGGGGCTAATAATGCCTACATTTCAAGATTTCTAAGGGGATTACATGAGGTAACAGGTAAAGCACTGAGCCTGAGTTAGATGCTGATGAAATAGGTTCCACCCTAGGTCCTCTAAAAGCATGCCTGGAGTTAGAAGATGATGGTGTTGAGAACATTCTAGGGGGTACAGTAGTTCTCACTGCAGTGAGATCACTATTCACTTGGTCATATTTCCTCTCAATCCAGGACTCTTCCCAGTATGGAAACAGTCCAGTCTTAGCTAGAATTTCTAGGATTCCTTCTTTTTGCAAAGACAGGGTTTCTGGCCTCCAGAATTTTCCAGTTGGTCTGAATACCCAGGGGAAAAGGATGGCTCAAAGCTCAGCCAACGAGACTCAGACCAGAGGCATCCAGGTAAGGGCAGGAGGAATGAGGCAGAGAGGGCTTTCTCTTTGAGGGAAAAAAAATCAAGCTCCATTCCCTGGGGAGAGAGGGAAAGAGAGTCAGGCTAGGCAAGAGGGTGAGTTTGGAGCAGCTGGATATTTTGTTTTCTAATAACTGTAACTAGGTAGTCTCCTGGACTCCAGTAACCCCTTTGCAATAAACTCTATGAGCAATACATTTTGGACCCAATATTCAGAGACAGGGCAGGCTCAGCAATGCAGATGGCACCGTGACAGCCGGGCATGGGGGTAACACAAGTGTGGATTCTGGCTAGACGGGGTGGGTCCTCCTCTGCCAGAGCCAACCTTCAGCCTGACTTCTAGTATCACAAAGGCAAAGGGCCTGAGAACTTAGACTCACTCTAGCTTTCTTTTGATGAGGGACCTCACAGAAGAGGCTGAGAGGGGCTGGAGGGATGCTGAGTAGGGGTGCTGGATGGAAAATTACAGACCAAGATTCTCACTTCACACCCCTCTGCTGCTGGGAAGTTCTAAAAGACAAAGAGGAAGCACATGTAAAGGGAAATTTCCCCTTCTCCCCACAACTTCCCCTCCCCCCACACCACCTGTAGCTGAAGAAACAGCTTTGTCTAGAAGAAGGCATTGTCCCTTCTGAATGAAGGGCCATGGGACAGTCTTGTCCCCAGTGCCTTGAGTGCATGCTCAAGAGAGGTGACTGAGGGCCTCATTCTGGAGATGCTCACTGGGCATGCAGCACAGGGCACATACTCCACACAGGCCCTTCAGCACGGCCGGCTGCCAGGCTACTCCAGAGAAATCCTATCTGTGTACATCAGTGCCAAGAGGTGCTGCTTAGGACCAGACCCTCCACGTTCCGAGCCCCTGCTTCCAGAGGCATCATAAGGAACACCAACAGCTTCCCTTGAGCTCTTGGGCTAGCCTAGGCAATGACCAACTTGTCTGTAATAATCCCTGCAAACTATGGATCATTAACTTTTCCAGTGTGGGAAACTGAGGCTCGGCTCCTCACCTCCCCGACCAGACTGGTAGGTGCTAGAGGAGAGGAGGAAAGCCAGACCTGTCTGGCTGCAGACCGGAGTCCTCTCTGCATCATGGACCTTGAGATACACACGCTCTGGGTGCTTTCTCTAGGAAAATCCCAAGGAGAAGGTAGTGGTTCTAGAGCTCTGCCTGGAAGCCACAGAGGGCAGGTACTTGGTGGAAAACTCCAGTGTGTGATTCACCCTCCTCCCGTGCCCTCATCAGGGAGGCCAACTCCCCTCCCGAGTTTTCAGTCTTCAGCCTGGGAGTTGGTGGCTTCCATCTGCTGCTCTGGTAAGAGAGGACTGTCCCTCGCCTAAGAAGGGGACGGTACTGTGGTGGGGGGCAGAGGGAGAAAGGGAAGGGGCAAAGAACAAGAGGGGAGATGAGGGCAGGATGTGAAGGTCTGAGCCCCTTCCCCTGCTCAGCCCAGCTACGGAGGGGACAGGACGTCTTGGGACAGTGCCACTGGGAGGGCAAAGGCCAGGAGGGAGGGGGCTACAGCGCGAGTGTCATGGGTTGGGGGCAGGGACAGAGGGCTTGGCTTCCTGAGGTTGGATGTTGTAATCCTGATTCGTAGACTTTTGGCTCCAATCCCTCCTGTTACTTGTGGTATTTCTGTCCCTTCACTTCCCAATACTCTGTCTCTCTTTGTCTCACACACACACAGAGAGAGAGTGGCTTTCTGCCTGGTAGTCCCAGGACAACTTGGATGGGAGTCCGTGCTGGGAGGAACAGGAGTGAAGGTGGAGAACATTCCCCTTTCAGGTCCCTGGAATGACCCGTGTATGGAGCTGAGCTGACTGCAGGGCACTGAGGTGAGCAGGAAGCGGAGGGGCTGGACTTCACAGAACTATGGAGGGGGGTCTTGGGGAGCAGGGGTAGGCAACTGCAATTCCCCACGCCAAAGAGAAAGTCTGGTATTGGGAATGCTGGGACAATGGGTGCCACCAAGTGCCCCTCAACATCCACAGCACTGGGTGCTCAGGAACAAACCTGTGTAGCAGGAGAGTCTATTACCAGAGCTGGCCCTGGGCAGTGGGTGAAAGAGGGGCAGTCAGCTGACTCGGACGGTCCGGGAGGCAGGCAGTGCCCAGAGAGGTGGGAACTAACCATCACAGGTGAGGGGTGACAGTCCTTCCCTTCAGGGTCACTGGTGAGCCAGAAGCCGAGTGGCTCCCAAAAGAAGGAAGCAGCCTGGCTCTTGGGTGGCAGCAGGGGCGTGTTTGTGTCTAAGGTTGGGGGCGGTGTGAGGGAAGGCGTGGGCAGCCACAGCAGAGCCAGGCCGCCCACGGGGTGTGAAGGACTACAGACAGAGCCAGGCTTTGGTGCCATGCACACAGGTATGTGTGTGCAAAGAGACGTGACGGAAGGCACCAGTGTGCGTGTAGGAATGGGTATTGGTATGTGGGTGTGGGCTGCAGCAGTGGCCAGGCCCTTCTCATGCTGGATAGGCTGCCAAGGAGACTGAGCCCGGACCTGGCCACTGGCAGGCAGCGGCATTTCTGGACTTCACCTGCTAGAGCCCGGCCAGCCTTCCGTCTACACCCCCAGCACCCCAAACAGAAAGTAGCTTTGTACTTTCTAATCTCTGAAAGACTAGAGCCCGGTGTGTGCATTGGTGTCTTTGCTTCTGGGTGGGGAGGACCATCCCCTATCTCCATCTTCTGCCCCATTTTAATAAAGCAGGAAGACAGTCTGGGGAGGAGATGCTGGGGGCTGCCAAGGGGACAGAGCTGGGGTGAATTCTTGGGAAGATTTCCAGAAGTCATCTTTGCGGTGGACAACACTGGTGAAACCATTCTTAACAGATGAGAGGTAGAAAGGTGCAGTGGGGGTAGACTATGCTGTCCTTTTAGCTTTTAAAAATAACCCCCAAAGGATAGCCACATATGGTTTGTTTTTACGTCTAAGGTCCTCCAGGATATTTCTCCCCCTAGTCTAACTTAACTCTCTCTTGCTTCAATTCCAGTCTGTTTCCCCTTAACTTACCAGGGCTCTGAGCCAACTTTTCCTTTCACTTGCTCTTGCTTTCATTCTGCCATTCCAGTTTTTCATTCCTACCTGTAAGTTATGCTTCTTCCAATAATATTTTTGTTTCAAAAAAAATGAATGACCCCATGTCAGTTCATGTTCTCTTCTGTCTCCTCCCCCATCCCCGATACAACCCAAACCCTTGGCACAAACTTCTTCAGCTTTCCCTTCATCCATCCCTTCCGTCACTCCTTTTATCCATCAGGTCTGCCCTCCGACACCTATTGAGAGCATCATGGTCTTAAAATAGTCACCTCTGGTCTGGAAATAGTCAGGCTCTTCTGCTGACCATTTTTTTGGGGGACCTTGTGCTTGGGCTTGCCCTGAGCTCAGCTACCCTATGGCTTGGCAAGCAAAGACAGTAGTTGCTGGGGCTGGGATTGTGGGTCAGTGGTAGAGTGCTCGCCTAGCATGTGCCAGGCCCTGGGTTCAATCCTCAGCACCATCACATTAAAAAAAAATAAATAAAATAAAGGTATTGTGTCCAACTACCACTAAAATAAATATTTAACAAAGACTGTGATTGCTGATTATGGATCTTACTGTTATTCTCCCACTCTTGCAATATTCCTGTTGAGCAGGGGTCCTTCTCTCTTCCAGGAGGATTTAAAGTTCAGAGAGGAAGTGTGAGTTGACTAAGGTCAACACCACAAGACCCAGCTCCACCACTTATTGTCTTGGTAAGTTTATTCTGCCCTTCCAAGAGAGTTTTACTGAGCACCTGCTAGGTGCCAGGTACCGTTCTCTAATCTCTGAGCTTCACTTCCTCATACGTAAAATGGAGCTAATAGTAACACCTACTTCAGAGACTTAGGAGGAAGAGATTCAATAATGTACATAGAGATTGGTATGTTTTTAACTCAGTGCTTCCTCAAATGTTAACCTTCTACTGTTATTGTAATTAGCAAAATGTGGATGAGATCTCGGGTTTCCTCTCTGACGCTTTTGAGTCTGTGTTTCCAAGTTTTCATTCACTTATTTGTTCATTAGTTTGATAATGATTCAGGGGCCGTTCCTTAGGGTGCCCCAGTTCTGACTCCTTAGCAATGGTCATTTTGGGGTTCAAGTGTCATAGACCTCTCCCCTGGGTGGAGCTCCCCTGTCCTTTCAACCTGACGCTCTGGTTCTTTAAGTTCCCCTGGGACTGGCCACTTCCTCCCAACGTGGAGCCCTCTTTTCTTCTCTTCTCCCCTCCTTCTCTCTTGTACCTGAGGGTCAAGGCTTCTGAATTCCCAGGTGACTCTTTGTTCTCCCTCCTGGATTGAGCTTGCATTAGAAGCCTCTGAACAAGTCCCAATCCCAGCATTTTACCCTGACATGCTTTCTGCTCCTGGGATAACCTGTACCCTCCAAGTCACCTTCAAAAATTTCCATAACCTCAAATGGCTCCTGCCCACGCCTTTCTAACTGACTTGGGCTTGGGCTGTTGCCTGGATTAAAAGGACCAACAAATAAACACAGACTTTTCCTTAATAAAAAGACTCCCTTGTGTTTCTCTAGCGCCTCGGAGGAGCACGGAGCCCTTGGTAGTCCTGGTCACTTTGATTCCCCCAATACCCCTCCGAGGTGAGGGGTGGCAGGATGGGTGCTTTTCTCTGTAGGCTGGGACAATGTCTCCTGGCACTTGCCTGGGAATAAAGGCACAAGTGGCTTCAGGCTGATTGTCTGTGTGGGTGGAGAGAGGAGAAGGCAAACATGGGCTGCAGAAACCAATCTGCTGCAATCTGTCTCTTGGTGATTGACAGGTGAGAGGATTGGAAAATCAAACTGACAGGGGCCCACATCCTTCTCTTGGAGGTCCAGGGAGTTTGGGGATCTTTAAGAGGGGAAGGATTAAAGGATGGTCCGTGATCTGCCATGACGGGCAGTTCTTACCAGGCTTGTCTCCACCCTTTTAAATAAGTACTTTATTTATTTACCTTCATATGGTGCTGAGGATCGACCCCAGTACCTCACTCGTGCAAGGCAAGCGCTCTACCACTGAGCTACAACCCCAGTCCTGGCTTCCCTCTTAAGGAGACCATTTGGTAATCTTGGAGTCATCTGGAGATGACCACTACCCAAGTAACAATTGCTCTGGTGACCCCTCCTGGCACACAGCCCCCGAAGTTTTCTCATGACAGAAATGCAACTGAGAGAAGAGAAACAGGGCTCCTTTGAAGGCCTATACTTGGCCCTGGTGCCAGTTCTAGTCCCCATCCTGCTTTGTTCTGAGGTCCCACCTTCTCCTGCCCTTCCAATCAGACATCTAGGGCTAGCTGGCCCCATGTTTACCCAGAGTTGATCCATCACCTTGGCACAGGAATGAGCACAAAACTGGGGGGGACAATACAGCCACCTTGGACAAACTGCTCTTTGACCCCCATCACCTCTGGCAGCCTTTGATTCCTTCTGCCCCAGAGGTCAGAGGCCAGGCTAGTGTCGCCCACTAAATCCTGAGGATCTGGGCACATGGGCCAGCTGTGATGGTGACTGGTGTTAGAGATCAAGAGCCACTTGGTCTATAATGCTTGGACTTTCACGGTAGCTCTGCTCCTGCCTGGTCTCGGGCCAGTCGCATCACTTTATCTGTCGAGGCTTGACTTTCCTGTCAGCACATCTGCAAACTGAGATTTGCTCCCCATTTGTTTAGTCTTATGACTCTGAGAGCAAAGTGTAACTCTATGGAGAGGTGCCATGGAGAAGAAAAGCAATACTCCAACAGCAAAGACCGGGCTGGGGAGGGCAGGACGGTGGAGCCTGTGCCAGGGTTTTACAGTTCACTCCTCCTCCCACCAGACTTTGCCTCTCTGACATCTTGCTCCATCCCACGGGGACTCCCAACTCACTATCTGGCTATGGACAAAAAAGTGGCAGTCCCTGAGGACGGGCCTCCTATGGTCTCCTGGGTCCCGGAGGAGGGAGAGACGTCGGACCAGGAAGGCGAGGACCAGGTGAAGGATCGGGGCCAATGGAACAACAAGATGGAGTTTGTGCTGTCAGTGGCCGGGGAGATCATTGGGCTAGGCAATGTCTGGAGGTTTCCCTATCTCTGCTACAAAAATGGAGGTGGTGAGTTCACACTGGGGTAGGCGTGGTGGGGAGAGCCGTGCACTGTGGCTGAGCAGTGCCTACCTGGGCCCCTCCTTCCCGGGCAGTGCGGTAACAGGGAAGGGGGGCTGTCATCGAGTTGGGGGCCTGTAGTAGAGCTCCAGCTCCACCTCCAGCCTCAGTGTTTCCCTCTACGAAATGGGGATGATACCTCACAGGGATCCGGTGACTTTTAAATGAGGCCACAGCAGGACCAAGAAATCTGCGTCCTCCATTACTCCATGCACACTCCATTCATTCATTCAACTAATATTACTCCAGGTCTATCTTGTGCCAGGCACTGTTCTCGATACAAAACAGAGCCCGCTCTGAGTGTTATGTTTTGACAAAGGCTGACAGATTACAGACAAGAAAATGTGTACTATGTCAAGTGGTGATAAGCAGAGTGGCAAGAAGTAAAGCAGGGATAAGGGACAGGAAATGCTGGATCACTGGGACAGGCAGAGGGATTTGATACGGGAAACAGGGAGACCAGGAAAGGTTTTGCCAAGAAGGCAATATTTGAGCAAAGATGTGAAGGTGAAAGTGTGAATCCATGGTTGCATGTGGGACAAAGAACATTCCCAACACTGGGAATGGTGAGTGCAAAGGTCCTGGGGTGAAAGAGCAATGACCTGTTTGAGGAACACTGAGGAGGCACTGTGGAGCTGAATGAGAGAGGAGAATAACAGGAGATGAGCTCAGAGAAGTAATGGGTTTAGATCTTGAATTCTTTGTTCCAAGTGAAATGGGAGCCATTGAAATATTTTGATTGGAGAAATAATAACTTGTCTATATATTTTTTTCAGATGAAGAAAATGTATTTGATTGTTTTTTGGCATCAGTAGTAAAAGTTAACAAGGTCACAGTGGGGAAGGGCCAGATTTATTTTTTTAAGTGTGCCATTCAGTGATTTTAGTATATTTACAGAATAGTGCAACCATCACCAAAATCAATTTTAGAACATATTCATTGTCTCTAAAAGAAAGTCATGTCTACTAGCTGTCACTCCCCATTCCCTCACTCCCTCCCCACTTTCAGCCCTGGGAAACCATTATCTGCTGTCTCTAAGGATCTACCTACTTGGAGTATTTCATGTAAATGGAACCCTTCAATATATAGTCCTTTGTGATTGATCTGATTTTTTTTTCCTCTTGAAATTACCTTTTTCTTTCATATTTTTTCTTGTCATACTGGAGGTTGAACCCAGAGGGCACTTTACCACTGAGCTACATCGTCAGCCTTTTTTATTTTTTATTTTGAGACAGGGTCTCTCTAAGCTGATCTTGAACTTGCTATCCTCCCATCTCAGCCTCTCAAGTTGCTGGGTTTACAGGCATGCACCACCAAGGCCGGCACCTGTTTTTTTTTTTGATAGAAATTATATATGTTTATTATAAATACTAGAAATACTCTAGGTGGGTAAAAAGAAGAAATACATTGAGAGATAACCATGGTTTAGGAAATCCTTCTAAATACTATTTATATGTAATTTGACAAATGTTTTCTGAGTATTCACTACACATGTTGCTATGTGTTTTATTTTTTTATTTATTTTTTAAAGAGACAGAATTTTTAAATTTCTTTTTTTTCAGTTTTCGGTGGATACAACATCTTTGTTTGTATGTGGTGCTGAGGGTCGAACCCGGGCCACACGCATGCCAGGCGAGCCCGCTACTGCTTGAGCCACATCCCCAGCCCCAATTGCTATGTGTTTTAAAACTTATAGTTGTTTTCATGAACTGTTTAAACTAATGACTCCAAAGAAATGGAAATGGAATTTCTTGGGTGGATCAGGATGATGGTGGGAGACAGTTAGGAGCGGGAGAGGTGTGCTCTCTTTCTTTGTCCCGGGGCATAGTGTTGTGGATGAATCTAGGTTGCTAGAGCCAGAGCTGAGGGTTATCAAGTCCCAGAGGAGGCCTTGCCCCAGAACACAGCTAGTGCCATGCTTGTGGTTGGGTGACTGCCCTCAACTCACTGTTTACATTCTTGTCCTACTACCTGGAAGACAGAGCCTGAGGGCAGGAGGCAGGGCCCCAAGCTCTGGTGGCTGAGCCCAGGTCACCTCCAAGATGGCAGGATCAAAGAAAGACATTATATCTGTATCACTTTAGCTCTGTTGCTAAACCACCCAAGTAAGGGTTTGATAAGCTAATTCATAGAACTGGTGTGTTGGAAACTCAGAGAGAAATCCAAACATGGAGGAATCAACATCCTCCCCTGGGCTGCAAGGTCTAAACGTGTGACCAGCCTGAGGTGAGGCTCTTCTGAGGTCCCCAGCTTCTGTGGGACCAAAGCCCACATTTTAAAGTCAGAACGGAAGCCGTCTCCTTTATTGGAGAGAAGGACATCTGACAGCTGGCAGAAGGGGCCTGTGGGCCACATGCCCCATAGCTCTCCTAGAAAGTGCCCTGTGGGAGAACCCCGGAGCTGTGTCCTTTCTCCTGAATCCTGCCCTCAGCCCTGGCGCTGCAATCATCCACGAAACCCAAACCTGAGCCAGTTGTGTCACTGCAGTGTGCTCGCCAATGCTCTAGTAGCACTCAGGCTGGGGAAGCCAACGTGAGGCAACAGGACTGTAGCTCAGTGGAGAGTTAGGTGGCACTCTGGTCCAGAGGCCATAAACCCTTCTTCACTCTCACAGGTTACTAGGGGGGACGTGTTGGTATAAGAGTTATGGAGGGCACTGTGAAATGCATGCCAAAGACCTTTAGGCAAGGTATATCCCCAAAGGTGGAAAGAACCCAGACGTCCTACAGTGGATGAATGGATACACCAAGTGTGACGTATACACACAAAGGACATTATTTAGCCTTAAAAGAGAAGGAAATCGTGATATATGCTGCAACATGAGGCATCTTGAAGATATGTTAAATGAAATCCATCAGGATAAGTACTCCCTGATCCCACCTTCATGAGGAACCTAGAGTAAGCACGTTCATAGAAACAGAAAGTAGAACTGCGGTTGCCAGGGGCTGGGGAGGAACAGGAATGGGGAGCTGCTGTTCAATACGAACAGAGTTTCAGTTTGTGATGATGAAAAAGTTTCAGGAGGTGGATGGGGTGATAGTTACACAACACTGCGAATGGACTTAGTGCCCCTGAACTGTGCACTTGGAAATGGTTAGAATGATTCATGTGGTATGTATTTTAACACACATACACATGCATGTAAAACAAAACAAAAAAAGTTTATCTTTGGACTCAGCAATTCCTCTACTGGAAATTTGTATTAAGAAGAAAATTAGACAAGTGCATGAGGCTATGGACAATGGTCTTCACCGTGGTGGTGTTTCTAATGTACACTGAAAAACCCAACAATAAGGTACTTGAAATATGCTAGAATTACATATAGTGGAATACTATACAGCCAATAAATGAGATAGGTATAGATTCTCTGGTTGATATGAACAGGTTCATGATGAAGATTTTTAAAATGGTTATCAAATAATCTATAGTAGGTTCTCATTTTGCAAAAGAGAAATGAATGTGTGTGTTTATAAGAAAACTAGAAGGATTCACAGAGCTTTTTCCTTTATAACTTCCCATTTTTTTCTACACATGAGAGAGATTACTTTAGAGGTATTTTGATGTAGTGGTTAAGATCAGGATCAAAACCCCTGGGGTTGGTGCCTCTGTTTCCTCTTTTATGCTTCAGTTTTCTCTTCTGTGAAAGGGGATAGCAATAGTACTTACCACATGGGAGGTTGTTTTGTGAGGACTTTGATGTTGGTGAAGCATTTAGAAGAGGGTCTGACACACAGCACCAAATAATGCCAGGTGTTATTATTAGGTGATGAACCAGAATCCACTTGCCCAATTTGAACCTCTGAGGTGAGGTTTCGGCCTTGGTGATTTCAACCAAAGTGGGCACTGGCTGAAGGGTGTCTTCAATTCCATCACATCATTTGCTGAAGGTCTCTTAGCCTGGCCTCCCCTCAGTAGCTGCTGGTCAGTGCCTAATTATGTGATAGCTTTCTCTGCTGCGGGTCCCCTGCAGACCAGAGCCTGATGGGGGTGGGGGAACACTCCAAAAATTACTAGTGTGAAAATAATGTTTCCAAGGTGTTTTTTTTTTGTTTGTTTGTTTTTCTCTAAAATGTACCAAACTTGATAATTTAATAAGCATATCAAATTATACAGAACACATGTTTGGGTTCCAAAAATAATACACTGATGAAATTCGTGAAGCACACTAAGAAAATAAATAGTGCACCTACTATTCCCTAATCTTAATTCATTCATTTCCTTTCAAAGGCCTTGCCCACCTCACGCAGGGTTTAGTCTGGAACATTTCCACCCATCACCCCTGACAGCATGAGAAACCTTGGGCCATGGGGAGGAAGGTGCTGGATGGAGGTCTGGGAGGGTCCCCGGGGCTGAGAGCAGAAAGGTGTGGCTCAGCCTTTGCCTCTCCTCTCCTGCAGGGGCCTTCTTTGTTCCCTACTTCATCTTCTTCTTCAGCTGCGGAGTCCCAGTGTTCTTCCTAGAGGTGGCCCTGGGCCAGTACACCAGCCAAGGCAGCATCACTGCCTGGAGGAAGATCTGTCCCCTCTTCCAGGGTGAGTATTCTGCCTCCTCCTTCCAATACATGGGGAGGTGATCATGCCCACCTCCTTCCAGCGTCCCTCCCTTCACTGTCATCATTCTCCCCGTGCTCACTGTCCCCTTTGCTTATCCACTCTCCTCCTGCACTGAGTGAGAACCAGGCTTTTCAGGGCCCAAGCTTACAAAGCTTGGGAAGGAGGGAACACTTCAAGAAAAACAGACAAAACAACAAAGACCAAATCAGGTACAGAGCTTGGGAGGGGTCCCTGCAAGGGAGGAACCCTACAGTTCAAGCTTCATCAGCCTCATAGAAAGTGTTTCTGAGTTGATGTCATGGTCCCAGATGGGCCTACAACACATGTAGTGACAGGGATGATGCTGAGGGGGATATCTAGCATCTATGGAGCACTACCCTGTGTCAGGTCACTTGTAAGCACCTTTCTCACCTAATTCTCTGGTAACTATTGGTTTCATTTTGTAGATGAGGAAAATGGGGTCATTCACAAAGGATTTGAGTCCAGATCTACCTGAACCCTTTCCCTCTTGACTATACCAGGGGCAGCTTCTGTTCCTCTCTCAATGAATCTGTTGGCACTAATGTGAGCAGCCTGGAGCATCCTGCCCCAACCCCTCTTTAGTTGATTGGCCAGTCCCCTGGGGGATAGTGGGATGCCCAAGGGGTCTTCCTGTCCTTCAAAGGTTCTTTGCACATTTTGAGATGCAGAGAGGACTCTTCCCCTCATGTCAGTAACTAAGGGAGCCCTGGGGACTAGGCATTCTTGGGTTTCCTGGGCACAGTTCAAATTGGATAGAGGTGTCATGAGGAACATCTTGGTTACTGGGTAAGGCTGGGTGCCTGACCACATTGGGGAAGACTGAAGCCTGTTTCATGCTGTGTTTCTGGAACATCCAGGGGGGGTCCTTGTGGAGGTAGCAGTGAGGGGCAGAGCAGAGCAAAGCTTGGCCTACCACGTTTCTACTCATAAGTTCTGGGCGCTGCAGGAGTTTCTGGGTGTTCTGCTCTGAACTCAGCAGTAGTGTAAAAGTCCTACTCAGCTGAGTTCTAACCCCAGGTCCAAGCAAGCTCCTGGGCAGAAGCAGTAGAGCCTGGCCTCTGCAGAACACCCTTATAGGGGTACCTGGCAGGTGGACATTGGATGGGTAGGGAAGAGACTGTGAGACTGCGGCTCCTTTCCTCTTCCACATTACTGGGCTTCCCCTGGCCTGGGTGCTCCGGAAGAGGCTGGCTCAAGGTGTGTGCCCCTCCCCGCGCGCGGTGGGAGTGCAAGCTGCTCACTGCCTGCCCATTCCCTGCCTAACTGTCCCCTCCTCCCCCAAGCTCCCAGCAGCCTGTGCACAAAAGGACGCACAGGAAACGCACCCTGTGCTCACCCACACCCCCCCTCCCCAGTCTGCACTCACTCAAGCTTCTGAATCACCGCAGGTC